GCGGCGTTTCCTGCTGCAGAAATACAGTTGGTTTTTATCTTGTCTCCTTTGGCCACGGAAAGTGTCTGAGGTTCCTTTGATTTTTTTTTTTTTCAATTCTAGCTATGTGTAGCTGATCTAGAATTTTTTTTCCGAACAAACACATAGCAGCATATGGATCTAAAATATCCTTTTCCCTCTAGCTTTAACCGGATCGACATTCCGCCTTACGAGTCATACGAGAAGCTTTATGAGAAGCTGTTGACAGCTGTGGAAGAGACATGTGGGTTTGCTGTGGAGTGAAAAAGCAACCAAAGGAAACAGATGCTAGCTCATGGACCACCAAATCAAAAGCTAGAAGAAGCTTGCTGTGAACTTCCTGCTAAGCTGTCTGAAGCATCGGAACTCTAGACAACTTAGAGACGGGGCAGTTTCCCTTCCGCCGCTGGTGGATGAGGGTGGGGGCTTTTGTTGGTGGTTTCCAACTCTATTTTCTCCCCTTTGTTACAATAACCCCTTCCCTCTTCCATCTGCCATCAAAAACGAAACGCAGCCAAGTTCAGCATTTGGCTTTGGTTACCCAGGATATTCTGCTAGACTTGTAAACACGTATTGTGGTAGGGTCGGTGACCTGGGGGTTTTTTTAATAGGAGAATCAAAGTGTCATGAAGAATGAGCTTAATTTGCTGAGGACTTGGCAACTGGTAGGTGTACCTGGTTAGTTTTGTCTTAACTCAAGCTTGAGCCCTCGCAGAGTGCGGCGGGTACTGACTGGCACGAGAGTTTGCATTGCACATTTTCAACATCTGTTTAAAAAGTAAACTTCTAGCAGAAAATACCTCCATATGAACACTTAACTGAAAGGTAAACAAATCCAAGCTCTGCCTTAGCAGGAAGCTCCCAGTGGAAGCTGTGGCTCACCTTGAGAAACGTGAAGGAATCTGGGACAGCTTAAATGGTATTGTATGATTTCTTTTTGGTTGTCCTGGCTGAAATCTCATTGTTTTGCACATGAAAGCAATTATTTCCTCCTGCAGAATTACTTTCCATAGTTCATTCAGATGTAAGTACCTTGCAGAGAAGCCTTGTAAAGGAGGAGAGGGAGGAGAAAAATCTACTCAGTCCCAAAGCTGTGATTTCTGTGCCACTGTTTTACCTGAGAAGTGTTTGTTTGACTTCAAATTCTGAGGCGCACATGGACCTGGCTGAACGCTGAGTTAACAGCAGACTTCTGTGCTGAAGTTTTTGGCCTTGGAAGAGGTTTATTTGGAGGTTGAGGTAAAAGGGTAACAATACAGTGAGTACCTTTACAACGTTATGCAAAGCTATTGGAAGAATTTACGACTTCAGTTCTGTAGGGATGGAAATATCTCCAGAGAGCCATCTAAGGCTATTTTTTTTCAAATACCTTAAACTAAGACTAAAAGGTTTGTTCTCTAACACGTCGCTAAAACAGCTTCCCAGGGGAAACAAAAGCAAATCAAATACCTGAATCACTAACATTTTCTCCAGTTTGCACACCAAGATGAGACAGTATTTTTTAACAAATAACACGGCTTCAGAAAGACCCAGTTACCTATCAAACTTCTAAACTTAAGTAAAACAGACTTGCTTGTATAGGATTTTTTTTTCTTTGGCAAGTCTGATTTTTAGAGAGATTCATTACTGAAACATTTAACAGACGTGTTTATGGAATAGCACATTGAAATTCAGCTGTGGGTAAGAGAAGATGTCTGCTGGAATACATCAATTTTGTCTTTTTTTTTTTTTAAATGGAATTTGAGAATAGCTTTAAACTGTGATAGGACAGAAAGTAGACACTTGGCAAAACCCTGGCATCTTTCTCCAGTTTGTTTATTTGTTTGTGTGTGGCTTTCTTTTTCTCCTTGACCATAATTCTTGTGATTTGTTGTCAGAAGTAAGGATTGCATTGGAGGTGTACCATATTGTGAGATTTGCACGGGGTGGGTAAAAATGCTCGTCCTGCAAGACCATACAGGAGAGGTGTGTTCAGACCCACGTTCTGTAGGAACCTTTTGGCACTTGGGGACCAGTTTCTGCAGTACTGGTTGTTGGGATGCCAGTGAAACGATGCGACTCTTTTGCACAAAAAGAGGAAAAAGAGCTGTCAGCAGAGAAACATCTGTATGGTCTTGGGCTGAGGAGCAGAGTCCCCCCAGCCCTGGCTCTTCAGAATGGCTGTGAAGTCGTACCTGTTGGTAGAGTGTATTTAATCCTTCCCATGCGTTTGGATGTGCAATAAACCAGTCAGATAGGATAACAAAAAAGCAAAAGGGATGATCGCCCCGAAGCTTTGCATGCAGCATCATGTGGATTTTTCACTAAAAGAATTGTAAAACTCCCAGATATTAAAGCCCACCACTGAAAAAAAAAAAACCCTCTCACTCAAGCTCCACACGCAGCACAACTGTGGCTCAGTGAAAAGCAAGCGAGGCGCAGGGAAAGGCCCCTGATTTGGAGATCTGTAGGTCAAGTAGCTTTATGTCAATGACACGATTGACATACAGTAGTTCCTAATGTCTTTGCTAGGTCAGTGTTTTATTGAATGCACAAAATAAGAATAGGCAAGGATTGATGTTTTGAAAAGTCTGTTTTTTGCTGTATTTAAAAGCCCTTGTCAAGGTACCTCCTCCGTGCTGACAGTAACGAGAATAGGGCACTGTCTTTTTTAATGATTTCAGTTCTCCTTTAAACAGCTTCACCACCTCTCCCATCGTGTTGTCTTTGCAATTTTGTGCCACTTCAGCGACGAGGAAGACGTTTTTTGTATCCTTCCATACACGCATTTGAGGCAGGCCTTAAAAACACTGGCTGAGTGGATGGAGGAGAACAAAGCAGAAGGGGGTTGAAGCCGTGGCTTGTTCTTCCTCTGGCCGGTTTCAAGGCCAGGGAAGGATGAAATGCAAAGCCAGAGTTTGCACGGCTTGAGCTGTGGACTCTCCGTGGTGTCGGGAGCTGTCTGGACGACCTCAGCTGTCTGAATTTGTACGTTCATCCCCACTTGGTCTGCCGGCGTTTGAACTGGTTGTGACTTCTCAAACTTGCCCAAAGAATAACATCGAGTCTGGTGTCCATGTTGTCATTACGTGTCCTGCCTTGTCCACGGATACTCTTGGATCTGACCTAAAGGAAATACAAGGTACAGCGTGTCTTTTGTTCCTGTCCTAAAGACAAACCCAAAAGCTGGTCCGTTGGCACAGACCTTCCGTGCTTGCCCTGATACTGCTCATCAGCCTCTACTATATGCTCAGGGATGTAGGAAACCACCACTTTGCTCGTGTTTTAAACCGGGAAGAAAACCGAGACTGTTTTATGAATGTTAGCGTTAACTTGGGCATTATATTGAGACCCTGCTTCAAAAATAAAAACAAAAAACAAAAAAACAAAGGCTGCTCAAAGCTCCTAGAGGGTGAAATCGGCGTCGGCTCAGCAGTATGGACTCAGTTCAAGTCGAGGTGGCTGTGAAATCTGATGGATTTTTATCAGGTTGATCCAGCCGGAGCCGGTGCCCAGGTTCAGGGCCGCGTGGCACAGCAAGTTCCCCAGAAACACAGTATGGATCTGGTTTTAATTTCTTTAATTTTTTTGTTTGTTTGTTTGTTTTGTTCGTTTGTCTGTTTGTTGTTCCTCAAACCACTTTATAATGTATTTTTTTTTAATTTATTATTTTGTAACGTCATGTTTTACGTATTGCTGCTATCCTTGTTCTTCTTCCCACTGTTTTTACTGCGGATTTATTTTGTGAAAGTTGTACACTAATGTTTCATTTTATGTCTAAATCAAAGTATTTAAAGAAATACTAGTTCTATTTAATGTGGTTACGGAACCAGCTGGAATAAACAGTGATTGTATAGTAGGCTGGACCCAGGAGGTCATGTTCATTTTTGTTACATATGCAATAAACTCACAACTTTAAACTCCTGGTATCCATCATTTTGTTTGTGAAAATATTTATGGAAGCCACAGGAAAAATGACACATGCTGTTGAGTGGCTCTGCGGGGAAGGGGGAGAGCTGTGGAAATAAAATTGCTTTAAAGGCTGGCCGTGGAGCACGCAGGTACAACAGCTTTGCAAGCAGAACACTGCATTTCCTTCATTTCCCTCATTCGTTACCAGCCTTGAGCTTTTTTTTCCCTTCTTCCCTCCTTATTTGTCCCGTTGTTTTTCCCCAACTTCCCTTTTCAGGCAAGTTTCCCCCTGTTCGCGGGAGCTGGGGGAGGATTCACGGCCGCTGATCCCTCGCT